AATAATGATATATACCTCCTGATTTGAATAGCTGTGGGAAGAAAGAATTGCAGATCACTATTGAAATACATTCTTCAATGCAGCTACTGTAGAAAGCAGCCCCCTTTCTTTTTTTTCATCTGGACAAGCTAAGCAAGAGGCTTTCACAGACTTACTAGAAGATAATAGAGATTATTTATTTATTAAACAGCATCCAAATAAATGGATAACTTTTATATCCCCAGGAGTTGCCATTTTGCACCCCTCACCCTTTAATGTCACTCTTACAACGCACTGCACAAATTTTTATTTTTGTGTGATAGACATTTAATTAATAAAGAAAACAATTTAAAATGAGCAGGAAGTGAAAGCAAATTCACATTGTGAATCTTTATCTCAGCCCTTCAAAGATCAGATGAATAAGGCTTCCGTCACTTGCTAGTGCCTACCCGTTAGGACGCTGGAGTATCAAAGGAAGGGGAGTGCTCCAGAGAGGAATTGGCTTTTCATCAGTTCCCGAGAGATTTTTAAAAATCTATTAAAATGTTATTCAGCTGATTTCCACTTATATATAGAAAGTGCAATGGCTAAAAAGATCACTAAGTGAAAAAGGAATGAGGCATTACGCTTTCCAATCCCAATCTGTTTTAACCTATAGACCAAACAGGAAACATGAGCAGATGAGCTAATATTACTTTATTGTAAGGCTGCATTAACAGAATCTCATAAGTCCGAAAGTACATTTCTCCTATTATTTATTAAGTACTGACAATTTACTTCCTAAGCATAACCATGAGTGTATCCTATAATTTGACAAGTCCTATCCTTTATGATCATGGTCATCTACCAGGGAGCATCAAAATCTGCAAAATAGGCACAAAAGCATGTTCAGTATCCTCCCCTCTTTATACATACAATGATGGCACACAAGTGTGCAAAGGGGTTAGAATGTTGATCATGACAATGCTGTATAGGTTTTGACAATGCTGTGTAGATACTGCTGTCTATAATCAATATCTGACATAATGCAAGAATAATTTCTAAAACTACAGCTGGGATCTTATGACTAAAAATCAGTGAATGAGTGAGAATTTGATTGTATTTCCCATTATGCTCCCCCTCCCCAGATTTCTTTGGTCATTGTAGGAAATATTAAAATAACTATACTTGGTCTTCAACATTGTTCAAGTATTAACACTTCAGCTAGGTAGTCCAAAAGAGGACTTCTGGGGATTGATACTATGAATAACATTTAAGAAGTTAAAATTTTATTAGCATTAAGGAGCTGGGAATTAAAGGGAAAGCATCTGTGCTGATTGAGGGATTGCAGATGCTATGTGTTTGCATGGGAGTGATAAAAATTTACTGTCAAGGGTTAAAATTAAAGAAAGAAAGAAAGAAAGAAAGAAAGAAAGAAAGAAAGAAAGAAAGAAAGAAAGAAAGAAAGAAAGAAAGAAAGAAAGAAA